TTATGTAATTGCAAACTCTCTAATACATTACAAATCTACACTGAGACCCAGCAACTGAGATATATATTTATCACTTTTGAAAATAATCAACAGGGTGATGAAGAAACAACCAGAAAGACAAAAGCAATGGCTTTTAGCAAGGAGGGAGAAGAGCCGCCTCCTCTGAGGAGCCTGGGTCCAGCCCCATCTGCAGAGCTCACCAGACTGGTTTAGCGCAGCGAGGTCCAACCAGCAGGTGTGGTTCCCCACCCCTTCGCCCTGGGGCTCTGGCTTCAGGAGCAGCCAGACAGCGCTAGGAGGGTTGGCTCTCCCTCTGCCTCCCCACTTCCAATGCACAGCCCTCCTCCCACCACCTTGCACCGCCTCTGGCACCCATCAGACCCTTCAATGAGCAGATTCAACCCACCTGACAGAGGAAAACCAGGCTAGCAAGTTGGATTGGTTTCAGAGGAGTGCCAGAATGGACGCAAAACCAGCATCAGGAGCTCGCAGCTGCGAATGGGGAGGGCAGGAAGCGAAGCACATCCCTAGCAGAAACCTGATGGATCACTTCATCATGTTTTATGAAATGGAAACCTCAGGATTTCATTTCAGAGCCAACAGAATCAGTCTCACCTGTCCCTCAAAATTCCTTCTAGTCCCATCCTTTGTGTCAAAATGAGCACTTGGCTATATATCCAAGCTACATCCAAAGGGGGAAAAAAAAAAAAAGGGTTATTAAAGTCTGAACCAACATCCTGACCTGGTTCACAGCCTGGTTCTGTGAGTGGTTTTGGTGACCCGGGAGAGAGGGGAGCGGTGGTGAGGTGCTGTGGGAGGCAGGATTTCCTGCACTGGCTTAAACTCCATGAAACTACTGCCTCTGGCTGAGGCTTCCTGGTGGCCTGAGCTGATCTAGCTGCTGGTCCTGCGGCCAGTCCCTCCATCTGCCACCAACCACACGCTCCTCACCCCGCTCCCAGTCATACAGCTACATGGCAAGTTGATTCAGCTGGCTGATGTGGTAGAAACCTTTCCTCTTCTTTCCCCCCGCCACCCAGCACAGTCTTAAGGCTGATCTGGCAGAAGACTCATCTTGTCACCATGTGATTTCCAGATTCAACTCAAGGGAAGGAGGAAAGGATGGGAGAAAGGCAGAGGACAGGCTGGTCATCTTGGCAATAGCTCACCACCAGACTGGCTTCACTACAAAGACCACAACCCACCCCACTCCTCAACCTAGTTTTTGGAGATCCCACCCTAGTTTTTCACTCCACTGCCTCCTCCTTACACCACCACAATTGTTGTAGGTCTGCATTGCAAACCAGATCAGTTCATTGAGAGAAAACATTGTTTTTAACCCTGACCACGCCACTGGGCTGCCATAGGTCAGAGGGAGCCTGTGGGCAAGGTCTGCAGTCAGGGACAGGAACCCCTCTACTAGCACTGAAGATGACAAATGAAGAATTACAGTCTAGAACACTGCAATATGTTTCAGACCACTGAAAAGGTTTATACTTGAATGAAATCTGCCCTCTGAGAGAGAAGATGATTACTTGAGACAGTCAGTGAAATAAGACCTGTGAGCATTTTTTTCTAAAATGGAACTGCAGACAAACTAGTTTACAGTGTTTTCCCTTTTATGCTGTTTAGCATTAACAATAGGAGAGAAGCACAGTACTTTGAAACAAGACTACTGTAGGGCTATAGTATTTGCCACTGGTCATGAACTCCTGAAAAAAGGTGAGTAGATGCTGATCAGTAGATTAATCAGATCTGCTGGAGATCAGATCTGCTGATGCCCAGAGGTTAGGAACCAGCGCTCAGTCTGAGAACTTGAAAAGTTGTATGATGTTACCCCATGAGTGGTAAACATGCATATCAAGGTCAGTTCTAACAGACCACAGCAGCAAAGATGTAGTTAGCTCTGTAATCAAGATACCATGTCCTACCTTTAACTTAACATTCTGTTGAATACTTAGCTGTAACAGCTGAGTCAACACTAAATTAATTCCGTCTTTTGCACATATTCTTCCCTGAAGGAATGCTTATTTTGATGTAAAAAATCTGAAAACAACAAAGCTCAGTTTTCCTATTTCAGTCAAAAAAAATCAATTAATTACATGAGACATCCCATCACTCATGCTACTGAAAATATATAGTATCAGTTTATTCAAACAGAGATGAAGATAAATGCATCCATTAAATAAAAATAGTATGCTGCAAGGATGTATACATTATAGACAAAAGCACTCAAGAATTCAGGAGCACTGAACCTGCACAGAGTGCAAGCACAACAATAACTTAATGCCTGATGTGTGCACAACTACAACAGTACAGTGTCTTCCTTAATGATATTATGATCAGAACTCGCTTGACTATCCGCAACATCCTGAAAGTTTTTTTGGTTGTGTTTAACAGTATCTTGAGATTTAATTTCCTCTTTCTTCTTCCACAGTACTCTGCAAACCCAAAGATTTGGCTAATCTGTATCTTCCAGTCATTATTTTACTTTCTAATTCAATTTCTACAAAAAAGAAAATATTAGTATAATATGAATGCTTCATCTGATGCAAGATGATTTAGATGATATGATTTTTTAAGTGGACAAGGACAAGGGCAAGATGGGCATAAAGAAGGCCAAAGACTACACAGGAGGTGAGAAAGAACCCAGCAAAGCATACATGCATATATTTTAACACCGTAGGCAGAAGAGTACTCTGATCTCAGAACAGATAAGGAAACAATAAACAGTCAAGGAAAGACCAAGACTGCAGAGTGACACACAGTTTATCACCTTGGTGACAGGAAGATTGTATGGGCAGTTTATTTTAAGATGCCTTTTTTAAAAAAAAACTGAGAGCCATGATTGCTGAAAATATGACAGTATTTATATATTCCAAGCTTTGTGTCTTCCTAATCTATCCTTAGCAGAGACACCAGTATCATTTATCTGGGTCTTAAATCTAAACTTATTACTCAGTTTGCACAAATGAAAACCAGACACTAAGCAGAAATCGGCTGAGTTACATACATATACAGTTACTCTTAGTAACTCAGATTGCTAAATAGAAATTTTAATCCTTATATGACAACGCATAATTTCACTAGCTGGGTCAAAAACAGAATAATAAATAATACAATGACTCCTCCTGCAAAGCACAAAACCACTCCAACTTCCAGTTAACTTACAAGAAATCGAGCACATTATGACAATAGATGAATTACAAAGAAAGCTGGATTTCTTGTCCCCAACAGTGGACTATAAATTAACATGCTCTGTTGCATTAGAAACAGTACATTAATTAAAAGAACAGTGATCTGAAAAAGTACAGTTTAATGTGTATTTTGTCACATATAACAGTGATAGATCTTGTCAAACCTATCAGAAATACAATTACTTACTCTCACATCCTTTCAGAACAGTATCATAAAATCAAAACTAGAAAAAATGTAAGGTATACTAATTTGGACGTCAACTCTACCTGTTCCTGACCAAAAGTCTTATCAGGGGAGAAAGTAAAACAGGTGGCACAAAGTAACTTGGCAAAATTACAGGCCTTTGCTGAGAAGAGACAGGGAAACCCTATATGGTGCATAAGGATGTGTGGGTGAAGAGCTATGGTTTTGTTTTTAATGACTCAGTTTTGAAAGGTACATAAAAACATCTTAAATTTACAGGCACGCATACCCCTTCCTCTGTTTCTGATGCTTAAAAGTCACATCTCATCCAGCATAGAAGTTCCTCTTACTACATCTTCTGCCCACCTGCCCCGCTCCCTGCCCACATGTCACGCAACACACACAAAAAGTAAGGACACACTATATGTAGCAAACAGGGAAGTATCATCAGAGTACAGCATCATGGAAACAATACAGGGAAGTATTTCCTGAGCTTAGGCTCTTGAAAACCTCATCTGCTCGTCCCCCTTCTATTTATACCAGGAATTTGTCTACTCAAACACCTCCACTGAACTCAATCACAGCAGTTCCCACAAAGAAAAGACGGTGTCTGAAGTATGCCTGAGAATACCACATCAGGGCATAACATCATACAGGAATGCTACAAGCATCACTGAGCATCCTTTGAAGGGAAATTGGAGTAACTACACCTTAATTCCATCAGTATGTAGGAAGTATCTGCAGGCAGTGCTGTCCAGCCAGCACTAGATAGGCACAGTGTTGCTCCTTCTGAGAAAAGCATCACAGAACCAGATATTCATTGCAGAAGGCCACCTTACTCCTTTCCATCTAGTTACTACAGCACAACGAGTGTCTCGCTTGCAGGCAACAGATCACTGTCCCCACTGCAATACTTTTCCTCTGCCTGGATTTACTTCTTTATTTAATGAAATACAGAAATGCTATAAAAACACTGGAAAGGACCTGTTCCAATGTTCTGCATGAAAAAAATCACTGCTTGAAAAGTTTGTAGTCCTTAGCAAAGCAATAATGTTGAATCATAAAACAGACGGTGCTTCAAGAGCTATAGAATTGGCAAACCTAAGCTCCAATTCATGTGATTATGGCATTAAAGATTCAACCCATATGATTATGGAACAAAAGCAATCACAAGGCTTGGAACTTCTCAGCTTCTCACAAACTCAAGTTTTCCATTTGCAAGGTCATATTACATAGACATTGCGGTTCATTGGGAGCTACCTGCCAACCTGGAGCGCTGAAGACAGGGTTTGGTAGGGTTTTTTGGCAGTGTGCCTCCCTGTACACCTCAGGCACATGGCTGCCTCAACATTTCCATGTCCCTAGGTATTTTATTCATTACTCAGCAGTGCTTCAGAGGTCTCTGAAATAGGAAGCGCATGTTGGTCATGATTCAGTAAGTACTTACAGCACCTGGGGGATGACGTCTCTGTATTTTAAACCTATTTACTTAAAAGCAAAAGGCATCCTACTCTGTTTTGTTTCACCTAGCAGGAAATACTTCACTTAAGGAAAACAAGGAGTGTTCAGAAGATAAACTGCACGTTTAATAACTCTTGAACAATCAGTAGCATACTTACATGGGAAGTCATCCACAAACAGGGGGTCTATGTTATGCAGCAGTTCCACTCTGGGGGAAGGTGTTCCTTCACTAGGAGAGATTTCAAAAGGAAATGTTGATTTCCTTCTGCAGCTCATTAGGATTCTGCATGCTTTATTATAAGGCTTTTTGTCATCTTAATACAGAATGAGCTCATAACTATAAACTAATTGCTATCAACTTTAATCTGAATGTTCTTTTCCAGCCTAGTAGCAACAGTTTTTGCCCCTATCAATCTTCTCTGACTTCATTGGTGTTTACTGGGATTATTCACAAGTTGACAGAGTACAGAATTGGCCCTACCAAAGCAGGGTTTTACAATAATCAACTTGAAAAATCAAATTTTGCAGCATAAGCTGGCATGGCACTTGCTATGCTCTCCGCACACCTAAACAAGTGCTGAAAGTGTTTTGGCTGGGTGCCTCAAGAAACACTAGAGGCATTGGCTACTCCTCAAAAAACCCACCTTTGATTTGTAATTGAGGTCACAAGCATTATTTAGATACTCTGAACCTTCCTGTGGGAAAAAAAAAAAAGCATCCCTCTTTTTCTAGCCATTGACTAGTGTGGAATGAGCTTCCAAACTTACCCATAAACTTTCTGAGTTAAGTAAATCTCAGTCCTAAAAAACTGAGTAAAAGAAATTTACTCCTTATGAAGGGCAACAGGAGTAGGAAGACATAATTAGAAAGAACCTTGGCTACATCATGACACAACAATATTTTATGATCTGACAGTGAACCAAAACACATCATTTTAGAAACTTCCAAATAATTTAAATTGTTTTATTTTTGTTAAGGAGCTTCATTGTAAGACTCAAAAATTCAGCCGGGGCCCCTAAAACACTTGACTTTAAGAACAGAAAAATCAGGTAATATAAAACTTAGTGGAAATCTCAAAAATGGTTGTTATTTTAATATATAAAATACATAATTAAACAATACTTACCTGTTATTTAAAATTTTCAATAACAACTAACTAAAATGAATACTGTTCTACTCCATTTCTAAAACCATTTCTGGATGCTACACATTTTGAATAAGTACAAAATTAACAAGGAGGATTGGATGAAAGAGTAAATGTATTCAGATAATACAGCCTTGGAATTAATACAGAGGAAATAAAATAATTAACCTACTGTGTTAGTAATTCAGTGTATAAAAACTGCCACAAAAATGCTTTTCCCAAAATGTGTGTGAAAGGTTAACTCCCCCTCCTGCCGCACCCCAATAGCTATAGTAGTCACCCACTTAAATAAGGAATGCCTGGCCTTATTTAACCAAATTTTATCTAAGATTTAATAGGCTCTTACTCGCTCTAGATGCTCCATCTATAGCTGTGGTCAAGTGTGCCTTTCGCTGTCTGTTCATAGGTAACAGTAACATGAACCAGTTACCACAAGTTAAACTTGGATGCAAATTGATAGCATGTGATGACTCTGCAGTAACTGCTTGGAGAGATATTCTTATTCTGTACTGTCTGAGTGTATCTACATTTTTCAATATACTTTTAAAAGAAAGCAAACACCAGAATTATTCTAAGTAATCTAGTACCTTCCACCACGGTCAAATACTGAAGAAAGAAGCAACTTACTCCTATGGCCTTCTCCTGTTTATATATCCAATATTCATACACGTTAGGTAGAAAGTCAGAAACGAAGACATTCATGCTGTTCGAGCAGACTAGTATTACTATCATATTGTTAAAGGTAATTTCCTTTATGGCTTTTAAGCTGGAGGGTTGATACTGTACGCTACACATGGCTACGAACATTATTGCACAGCAGGTAGAACACAAAATATAAAGATTACACCTGCATTCATTTAAGTTTTTCATGCTGCAGTTGTCATCTTTATTGAATCAATTTTTTTCTGGGATAGAATATTGGTATTAGTAACTTGGAAATGTGATTTATATATAATCATGAGATATATTCCCTGAAGCTTATGGCATTACTGTATTAAGCTCGGTAGCACTATCAACCGGTACTGAACTGTTTGTTCAGTTTGGGTGTTATTCTGGTAATTCTGTTGCACACAAAATGGAGGTTTATAACCAGCATATATTAGTCACAAAACAATTGCCAGAGAACTGAAGATGGCATTGTACATTGAAGAAAGTGGCTGGTTGACAGAAAAGGACATCAGGAAGACAGAAGCAACGTCCTGCGGACAAGAAGCAGAGAATTTACACTTGTAGCAGAGTTCCCTTTCCCTGTGCCTAAACTCTGTTCTCCTCCCCATTTGTGGAGCTCCATACTGACCTCAGTCCCCTCAAAAGACACAGCCTCAACAACAGATCCACCTTGGCAGATTTTCTGCCAAGGATATTTTGCATCAGGAATCTAGTCTAGCCAACAGAGCTAGAATAAGAAAGCAGTAAGATTCTCTAGGGAATCCTGCCCTTGTGTTTTAGTAGCTTCCAGTGTCCAGTGTCTGTTCCATCTTACAATGCTCTAATTTCAGAATATTTATTTTTAGAATCCAATATGCTAATATATTGCTCCTCTCCCTAAAAATAAGGAACTTTTTCTTTTGTCTGGTTATTATTCTACCACGTCAGACTGACTATTTAAATAAGCAGTTAAAAGGTATTGTTTTCCAAAAAAGTCCTCTATATAAGAACATCTTGATGAAAACATATGGACTAACTTCAGAGTTGGTATGAGAATCAGCTAGTTCATGCTGAGAACATGCTCTATCTTCTGCTTTGCAAATTTTTTAAAACATACAGAAAAATCTATTACTTCTTAGTGAACATGAACAAACATTTACATGCGATCTTTCACTTTTGTTGTTGTTGTTGTTAAATAGGCAGAAGGTGTCCTTGGAAGAAATCCAAGTTTTTTGAGGGTAAATATGTTTATCTTGCACAAAAACATCCTCAGTGTCACTCAGCAAAATCTGAGCCTTTATAACCTTGCCATATACTGTATTTCTCTGGGTCATATCTGTACACACTTTCCTAAAATAATTATATTTCAGATATGCTGGAAATAAACATTACTCTCAGTTTTACATTGCTCTTTCTTCAGCATTAATTTATACCACAACACTGAAATTTTTTTTCAAACAGGTGTTTAATTCCTAAAATGAATGTAACCATTTGGTACACAAGAATTCAAGTTGATGTGCTTCATTTACTTCATCTAGGCAATTCTGACATTTCCAACATTACAAAAATATAAATCGGAAACCTGCCCTGCAAAACGTATGACTAAAACTTGAAAACCTATGCTTGTTAACAAGCTATGAAGAAATATTAGTATTTTGACTGCATTTTATCCTGAATCTCTCGGCGCCTATCGTACTGCTTCATGTGCTCTACCATTTGGCTAATGCAAAATAAAATCTTTTTTCTGAGCACAGACATACTAGATATATAGTACTGAAAAGCAAAATATATCAAAACAATGTATCAACCAGGGCAAACTTCTACATAAGGAAAATTTTTTGCCTTGTGTCTCTATTTCAACAGAGTAGCAAGCATGTGGAGAACAGATGTTTCTTAGAAGTGCCAGTGCCTTTTGAGATACTTGTTTGGAAACATGCAGTATGGTTTAAATTCCTTGACTAGTTGCATTTTAGTGTTGTTTTCGACTATGTTTTCTTGGTATTCTCAGTTACTATTTTTGTAAAATACATTAGTGATATTATCCTGTATTTTTAGACATAATTTCTAGTTCGTACATGGTTTTAGATGTTCTAGCTACATTGTAGTGTTATCCATGGTAATCTAAAGTAGATTAGATTAGAAAAGTGCTATCTGCTATGATTTATGTAGAAGGTTTATACCTGAGATTGGAATGGTCTGATGGATATCCAAAAATGGGTTGGTACAGTGATACTATCCTATGTTATGTTTTAAAACAAGTTGGGGACATTAAAGGGAAAGTTAAATCTAATTCCAAAGGTACTCGGAGGAAAATTGAAGTTTAGGAACTACTGGTCTAAAGATACTCTGCAAGAAAATCTTGGATGGAAAAGTTTTTTTTGGTGGCCTACTATCTGTTACTGTAGAAAACTGTAGCAGAAAGGCCAAGACTGGTGCGAATGGAGAAAGACTGGGAAGATCTGCACGTGGTGACAACAGCACGAACACACAGCAGGGAAAGGGCTCTCATAGCAGCCTGCGTTAATGACACCCAGATCAGCAGGTCAGCAAGAGCCCAACACATCTGGGCCAGTTTCACAGGACGGGGACATGGGGAGACAAAACAGTGATGGCACCTGATGGCTCACAGAGGAGGGACAGGACAGAGAAGCAGCACCAAAAGGGTACAAAAAGGCATAACCAGAATTGTTCACATTCCTCTTCTATTAGGTCTCTCATTGATACACAGCTGCAACAGTACTTCCTACACTACTAGGTCAGCAGATAACTTCTTGCAGAGCAGACAAGCTTTTGAGTTCAAAGTCCCTGTCAAAGAGCTTTTAAGTAGCATGCAAATATTTACCTAAGAAAAGAAGTTCAAACGACGAGAACAAGGACATTGTATTTCCTCAGTTTCATGTATGAAAGAAATGTAAGGTACAGCTAGCTAAAAATGCAAAAGAAGATATTTTTGTCCACAAGAAACATGTGCTCCTGAACTTTATCTTTTCATGCCATTTGCTCCTCACCATTAACTTTCTTCTGGTTCTTTAAGTCAAAATTAAGTAGAGGAGGCATGAAATGAACAGTTGTATACATGTGTGGTTTTCAGCACTTCTATTTCCTGCAAGAACTTAATATTTGTTAGTGTCATGTTAATGCAATTCCTAATTTGGACTACCAATCATTTGAAAATCATTACAGAAAGTTCATTTTGGTCTAGGATTTTGGAATTTATGTTTAGGATTTCAAAATTTGTATCTAATTTCTATATTATTTATATCATGATCTATATTCAAAATTCTATACTTACATGTAATTATTTTCAGAATTATATTATTTCTATTTATTATATAAATATCATATTAAGAACCCATCCTTTGAAAATTGACCATTTTTAGACAGAGATCAGACAGATACTGGAATGGATACAATATTTTTGTGACTTCTGAGAGTATGGACATTGTCTCATATATTCTTTTGAATATCTAAATCAAGGTTCCCAATTTATAACCTTTTTCCCTCTGATTACACACGTATGAAACTGTAGGCTTAGGATTAAAGTCCACCAAAAAAAAAGAAACCCAAACCCACAAGAAACATATGCAGCTACTTGTATTAAACCGGCCTGAAAAAAATACAGATGTAACACAGTGATTGGCTATTAATTTTTTTTCAAATGAGGTAGAATCTTAGCAAAATTTAATCTCACTCATTATAAGCAATATATTTGAACTTTCCATCAGATGTCACCAAAAGGGCACCGTGCCTTCATTGTTTTCTATCCAATATTCAAGTGACCTTTTGAGTTATGACCATGAAATTGAATACACTCATTTCTCCTGATTACATGGGAAAATCATGTGAAATTTGACATTTCAGATGCAAGGTCAGCCAAAGAGCAGCCCAACAGTTCACAAAAACTGACTTTTTCCCCCCTCTGGGCAGAGGCCCTCCTGTTGGCACTACTGAAAATACTGGAAGTCACCTCTTCCCTAGCAGTGCCAGCAAATATTGCATTCAGTTCCTCCACAAAGAGATAAGATTGAAGTGCTAGGAGTGTGCAGGGGATGCACAGCAGTAGCTATCCTTCCCCACATATAATTCACCTGCTGAAGTAACCTGATGTGAGAAGGTAAGTCCATGACAAAAAATACCTGGTTGAAACTGAACCTGAATTAAGCAGGAATTCTGTTGGTAGCTGGAAGAAAAATCTGTGGTTCAGGAGTACCCCAGGATCTTGCTGATGCTAAGTTTTCCCACAGTAACATTGGCATGTAAAACGTTTTACTGTCTCTGGCTGGACAGAAGTCTCCATTCCATCCTGGGAGTTAATGGTCCCTGGCCTCAATTATACACATCCTTATCTTCTTCCACTTGGAAAAGAGCCATACAGTGCACCTGGGCACAAGGCCACGAGCTCTCTGCAAACTCCAGCTAAGTACAGAAAACTACCCCATAGCTTCTCAGAAACAGAGGCAGCACTAAGAAAGAAATCAAGCTTAGCAGTTTCAAAACAGGTAAACCTACTAAAGGTACAAAGAAAACAATTCTGAACCCAAGATATGAGTTATTTGAGGGGGTTGGGAGCTGGGCTTTTTTTTTTTTGGTTTTGGTGGTTTTGTTTTTTTTTTTTTTACTTCAAGGTTTATACAGGTCTAACCAGGGACAGGTAGATGGGTTCAACTCTGATTGCTCTAACTCAATTTCTCGTTTTGATCCCTAACCCAAACACTCACTGCTCACACTTGTTTAGGAGCTAACTCCTGTAATTTACAGTCTAGGATGCTAAGACACACAAAAATCAGTGTTTATCGTAATGCACTATGTAGAAAATTGCAGAAAATAGCTACATTTCTCCTGCAAGCTGGGGTGGAAACCTCTGAGAAGGGGACAAAACGTTATAACACATGTAAAATAATATTGTCTGACTGCTATAAAAACAAAACAAAGACTATCAAAAGAAACAAAACACTAACTTTCACATGAATGGCATGTAGGAAATAGAATTGCTAGTCCTTCTATTCTTGTCAGCATTATTAATACTGCTTTAGCAGTATTAAACTTTGTGTCCTAAATGATTCTCATGTGAATTAAAACTACATTCAAAGATGAAGTAAAACAAATATAACTTTTAAGAACATAGACAATAGGATTTAGCCTCATCAATGAAGACATGCAGCACAGAAGAGGGGGAAACAAAGGAATTTAAAGCATGCAGTTTTTGCAAAACTAAGGGTTGGTCACAGAAGTTTAAACTTCTGCAGAAACTCAGGTTTTAAGGACTTTGTAATCCATTTTAGTAGAATAAAAGAACATCAGAATAAAAGAAAAGCTTTGAAAGATGAAGGACTGACTGAATATAAGCCTTGATTGAAGATATCACAAAGGGGCAACACCAGAGTTCCTTTTGATAGTTTGTTCCAGTGAAAAAATCACCTTTACCAGTTAATGCCTATTTCATTTACTCTTTTACATTCTATTCTACTCACTCGGTGGAGCCCAACGCACCAGTAATAAGCACATATTCAGATGAGCCCACAGGCCCCAGTATCCAGCATTTGTGATACCATTTTTATTATACTTTTCCAGAGGAAAAATGTATGGGATTTAACTTATTTTCCTTTTAATGCACAGAAGACTCTCCATTATCTGAACTAATGGAGTTTGGAATATCCCAGTTAATCCAGACAGCATGAGAGATGCACAGAGTCAGAGAGAGCCCAGTAAAATTCATTAGCTTGGTCTCGCTGCCAACCCAACTGGAGCTAAGCTGCCTCTTTTTTCCAGCCATCTAAGCATGTCTGCACTGCGCTCCTGAGTGCTCCAGCTTGCACTAACCAGTAGTCAGGTCTACATTTGTATTCCACTTCACAGGCTTTCTGAGACACCGAACAGCATGATATGGACCTATTCAAATGGTTACACTTGGAGCCACCCTGACAGGTCCCCCCCACCCTCAGTACGGGTACTGAGGCTAACAAAGTGGAATCCACGCTCAGTCATATGCATAGATTTCCCACATCTTCACTTCCAGACATACTGCAGAGACACCCAACAGGGCTCTGTAGAGAGCAGGGCTGGGTCCACAAAATTTCCTAACTTGTACTCCATGCTGTGCAAGATCAGTTAACATACTTCTGGATCACAGAGCATTCTTGAAAAAGTGTTCCATGTTTGTGCATTGCTGTGTCCACACTGATAAATTCAACACACTAAGTTAAAAGTTGTATGGAGGTTTTGCATCTGTGACCAGGATTAATTTGCAACCTGGATAATTCTCTCATGGGTAGCAAAGTTACAGCAATCATACCTTCCCTTTATTTAGGGAAAGGAACACATAATATTCCACGCAAACACCCCTCTCCCAGTTCCAGCTCTGTTCTCTGGGCTGATTAAATTCTTCTCATACCAGTATGCTGACTCGGTGATTTGACATGCAAGTTACCTGATAGTTTTCCAAACATCAAAGCCATCCAAAGGCTTAGTGCCATTGGTATGTCCTCCAGCTAGGTGCACAAGTGTTGGCAGCCAGTCAGAGATATGGATGAGTTCATGACTTTCTACACCTTTTTGTTTCAGTAAAGGACTTGCAACAAAGCCTACTCCTCTCACTCCTCCTTCCCAGAGAGTCCATTTTCTTCCTCTCAGTGGCCAGTTATTCCCACCTGCCAAAGTCTGTCCTCCATTATCTGGAAAACAAGTAATTAAAAGGAATTATTGGTGAGAAAGAAACAGAACAATCCTCCCCACAACATTTATTCATCCATTTGAAAAAACATTTTCACAATATAGGAATGTCATACAAATATTTCCATAGTGCTGTTAAGTGTTCATACAATATGTGGCATGTTCAGAGCATGTCACAAACGTAAGCTAATTCTTGCCAGAGTATTACGAATTACTACAATGAAAAGTTACTGCTAGGCAGAAATGATACCATACTATAGGCTAATAATTCAGAAAGACTTTGTTAAAAGCAACCTCTGACGTTGATTCTAAATGTCATTAGACATCCAAAGCTTCCAGAATCAGACTTAAAAAATTTAGTTCCAACTACTTTACAGACCACAAGAACAGTCGCTACCAATACCATCATTAGTACTCAGAATACACTGTTTTCCAAAGCCGTAAGTTATACTTAAAATGGAAAACTGTTATTCCAGTGTCAGGACAATAGCTGTACTCCTAGTTTAGAACCATTTTTTCCCTAGACTTTTAGGCAGCCACATTGATTTGTAATGTCACACAGTCAGTTTCTCAGGCAGAAGAAGAAAGCCCTAAAAAAATGAGTTGAAACTAGTTAAAGTAGTTGAAGTGATTCAGAAATATACTTAATTTATTGTGTTTGGTTAGAACAACATATAAGATGTTTACAGAAAAAGTTGGCCTGTGACTACAGTAACTCAGAAATATCTATATGAATTAGAGGTAGCTCATGTAACTCTTCTTAAAATCTGACCAAGCTTCTACACTTAGAATGAAATCCAGATTCCTGAAGTTAACAGAATTAATGATTCTTTGAAGTTACTTTTAGTACTGTTGCAGTTTTCTTGTTCAAACCTATTGCAATGATCTCAGAAGACTGGCAATTCTTTTAAGCATGATTTTTCTGTATTTTAATGAGGTTAAAATTATTTTAAATACTAGCTGTTGAACTGACATTCAGTGTGATTTGACATGTTTATATTGTATTTTCTGATAAAAAAACATGAATTTGAGGGAAGAAACAAGAAATACATGTCCAACACCTTGCAGAAGAACTTTACTGTAACCACAATGCAACAAAATTATCTCTCTTCTGCTTCATTAATTGCACACAGAAAACCCCTTTTGTTCTACTATGGAATAAACTAGCGCATGCCTCTGTGAAGACTTTAAAAGGTGGAAGCCTAAGTTAAGTGAAGCACTTGGAAAAAATAGCATGATTTGAAAAGTGCAAAGTGTTCTGTGGCCCAACTTGCTTGCAGTAGGGTTGCTTGTGTGTCCAGCACTCTTGGGTTAAAAATAAATAGAGAGCTTTATTGTCTTCAATATGAAATGCAGGCAACCAAATACTAGCTACCAATATTTCTCACACAACAATGTTGGGCACTAAGATCTGAGAATTTAAGTAGTTGCCAGTTACCAAAAAAAAAAAAAAAGAAAAAAATCAGTTTCAACAATTCCTTCTATTCTTAGTGTAAACAGGAATTCCTGTCAGGGATACTCATGGGACAGAGCTTTCAGTAGCTTTTAACCTTTGGCGGCCTTGGAATAAAAGGTATCTTATCTACACTACATTACAGCACAGTATTAGAGCACAGTTTGGACATACAGTGGGATCAAATCTTAAGTATGTTAAATATCTTCTTTGTATCACAAGCTACTTACTGTCCATATCAGTTTAATACTAGCACATGAGATTTTTTTTTTTTTTTAGTCCTGAATAACAGCAACAGAGTAGCAAGGAAATTTACAAGTAGACTGTCTTTTCGAAGAATAGAGAGAGAGAAGTGTGCATTTCCTGGGTTACAGTCAAATCTTTATTATACTTATTTTTTCTTTGCTTTCTGTAGTTGAGTTGAAAACATTCACATTCTGCCAGTTTCATTATATAATAAATTGCCTGAGACAAGGACTCTATCTATCTAACATTAATCCTGTAAAAACTTGTGTGTGATATCAGCATTCAGACATACTACAGTAAGTTAACAAATGGGAAAATTCTTGTTTTGATAGCTTATCTGGTATGTAAATGAAAAAACCTGACATATGAAACAAGCTTCATCCCACTCATTCTGACTTCTCATTTTCACATTGCTAGAACGTTACTGTTTCCTTCTCCCTCAGGAACTCACATTCAAAAGACCTCTCCTGCTTCATTTCTTGACTGAGTTATCAAGAAAGTGTTGAAGAAGGGAAAAGGATGGTTTCTGGTTTGATTACTTAAGTTTGTTTCCTCTCTAGGTAGGCAGAACAGAGCTGATGTGTCACTGGCAGTTTATGCGTAAGTGATACCAGTTTTCAAAGTTATCTATAACTACTCCTGTATGGTCTGAAATATTATCTAGGACTTCAAATATCAACAATTTGTTAAAGAGGAGCAAGTTACATAATAATGAAAGATCGTAATGAAGTCTGTATTGATGAAATATTAAGCTACATAACAAAGGTGGGGGAAGGAAATAAATAAGAAGCCACTGATTGCATGAGGTACAGACGTGGCAGAAAGGCAGGCATGAACAACCACTACAGCACTGTAAGGGGGAGTTCTAGCTGGTCTTATCTATGAGGTTATGTCTAGATAGCAGGGGACAAAATGGGTACCTGCTCTGTGTGTGTTCATGTACCTTTCCCCTAAGTTACAGCTGTGGATGTATACAACTGATGCTAAAAACTTGCATGGGTTCAGAAAGCCACTGGAGAAGTTAAAGATTAAAAAATAATTGATAGTTCTTATATGAAAAGACACCACCTCTGTCTCAGGAATTTCTTCAGCCACAAACTGCTGAAGATTTGAAAGTTTTCACAAAATTTTTCGTGAAAGGCACAAACAATGAGTCCCGATACTCTTTCCTAGACACGTGCTACCAGGCATTGCTGTAGCGAGAGGATGCTTGGCTAGATGGATCGTCCATCTGTGGAAGTACAGCCATTCTCATGTTCTCCCAAATAAGCTATTCCTTACTAACTCCTCATGCTATTTTAGCAAAATATCTCGAATATGGAACAAACTGTAAAGTCCATATGGAAACTCCCGGTAGTTAAAAACACACGCTTAATATCTGTTTAGGTAAGAGACAAATAGGATCATTGTTGCTTCACGTTCTACACTGGCTTCATATCCAATACTAAATCCACTTCAAAACAATATTTCCTGAATGATTTATCATCCATTTTTGCAACTGTTTCTCTCCATGACTCATCCTAATACCTAATCTCAGCAGACAGTCTCCAGAGCAAAGCTTTTGGAACCAAGGTACCTACAACTAGAGGCTCTGATTTATAACATTTCTTATTATTAAAACTTCAGCCTTGCTACTTCAGCTGAAAACACAAGCCTCCCCCAAGCATGATACTTCAATTATCTCTTTCCTGGAGACAAACATCAAATATGATTTTCATTAAAAATAATAGTGAAATAGTCTGGAAAATGTAGTGAGCATGTTTTTCCTATCTGTAAGAATCATTTTTGTAATTACATCTATGTAATTTAGACTTCAGTAGTACCCACAACATATTATGTGCATTAGAAAAATCATAAAACAAACCGGCTCTTGTCCCTAAAGAAAGGATGAAAGGGGAGAGAACAAGGCTATAGTTAGAAATCATGGTACTTGGCATAAGCATTACCTACCTAATTTATTCAGTTTTGTTTGTTTTCTTAAATGGAAGCATGATACATTTTTAAAGAGCTTTGTAGTTTGCTTGGTTTGGCTTGCTTGGATAGGTGTTTAGCTACCTTTGCTTCTCCTGGTGTTTTTATCACTCCCATCAGTCTGTGTTATTTTAAGGAGGGGGGTATCAAGATGCTTTTTTTCCATTCTGATGGAATTGTCTTCTACAAGCTGAAATTTGTGACAATGAAAGAGAACACTGGGGAGAGACATTCTTACTGACACAAGAATGGGCTAAAACAGAGTTTGTAGCAGGCATTACCACCAACAACAAAAAAACGCACAGAAGATATATGCAGGGTAAATGGCAAAAATGACAGAATAAAGGAGAGAAACAGAAGCATCCTGGCTACCTTAAAATGTAGTTTCCATCAAAGTTGTGCACCCTTGAATTAACATCAGCCTTGTTGATTATGGAGAAATCTGTATAATGTGGTAATTGTATCATAAACACAAATGATATGCTGCACTGATTTGGGAAGCGATGTCATTCCGGCTATGGAAGAGAAAGCGAGAATCCTAAAGAGCAAAGGAAACACATTGACAGTTGTAAGCATTGGGGAGGGAGCCTGCAAAGGTTGTATCTGAGTGAATCATGTAGTCACAGACAGAACAGTTTCTTAAGGGCAATAAATATTTCTGAGGGTCAGGAATTGGTCAAAAGAGTCCCCAGATACAAAAGCCAGGCTCATCTCTAATATTATTCTCTGCCAATTTACATGACTCATGTGAGTAGCATAATTCTCCTTTAATTTTGTGTTGTCCTTCAGTATCCAAGGAGTAGGAATCTGATAGGATCTGAAAGTAGCTTAAAAAAAAAACCAAACTGCCACACATTAATTTCATTGGAATAGATACTAACAAAATTCATAGGTCTAACCACCCCCACCCCGCCACACCGAAACCAAGGCAGTGCTTCCAAACCCAAAACACCACCCCATTTTATGTTAGTTTCTCCATATATCTGTGGGACATGCATCCCGATAAAATAGACTGCTATAAAGCTCTCCAGATGAAATAACTTTTGTCTTCAAAATAGTCACACACAGTACCCTAACACCTTGAATACTTTAAAGTACTGGCAAAGCTTATCCTCAGTAAATACCCTGCACTGCTATAGCAAAAATAAAATTTTTAAGTGAGAACTTCTGTCTTCTGTTTTGATTAAAATATCTGAAAAAAAATCAAATATTTTTCTCATAACTGTAGCAACTACCCAAATATGCCTTCAAGAAGAAAAACATTTCTTATAGGACTATTTCTACATTCTTTCACTCTCATACACCTATTTACATCTAATCACTTTCTCACCC